AGTGGGTGTGGTTTGGGCTTTGCTTCTGTGAAGACTGACAGCCTTGGAGACCCTGTGGGGCAGTTCCACTCTGTCCTCTAGGGGCGCTGTGAGTCAGAATTGACTCCACGGCAGTAGGTTTGGTTTTGAGTCTCACTTCACTAGCTTCTCACTCTCAGCCCATAGACATGCTCCAGCTACTGTAGCACCATTCACTCTTTCTTCTTTCCTGGCCAAACCACTGCTCTTTAGCTCCCCCTACCACCTCTCCACGGAAACTATCAAACCAAAAAACAAAAACCAAACTCACTGCTGTTGAGTCAGATCCAACTCATAGCGACCCATCCCTGGGTTTCCAAGGCAGTATCATTATGGAAGTAGGATTGCCCAACCTTCCTTCTGAGGAGCAGCTAGTGGGTTTGAATCGCCACCCTTCTGGTTAGCAGTAAAATGCCTTAGGCAATGCATGTGAGATCCAGACGGCCATGTTTGGACCTTATCATCTGTAATGTCTACTCTGTTCAAGGCCATGGCCTGCTCACTTCCTCCTTTCAGGCCTCCTCTCTCTCTGGGTTTCCACTATATCTCCTTTTCCAAATGTTTTCCATTTGTGAACACGGACACACTGCCCGGCACCCTCGTTCTTTCTCAACTTAGTCCTCAAACGTTGGGTGTCCATGGACTGAACATTTTGGTCAAAGATTCTAAAGAAGAACCCAATCAAAAGGGGGAACATTGCAGAAAAATTTCAAATGCTCATGGAATCCAGACTTTCTGGACCCATGGAGGCTGGATGACCCCTTAGTACTACTGTCCCGAAGCAATCTTTAAACTTTAAACCAAAAACATCCCCTGCAGTTTTCTTCAAACCAAGTAACAGTTCAGCGTAACTAGCAAAGAATGCCTCACTTGGGCCTTACGCTCTTTTAAGAATTATGGACTCAAACTGGCAACAGCAGCTCCAAGGATGAGATAGGAAGGCCAGTGGCCACGAGTTTATGCTAACGGCAGCGGAGCAGCTCAGAAAAGGAGAGAGAGGACGGCTGCACAGCTCAAACCCGGCCTCAGCATCGCCGAGCTGTGCAGAAATGGTCAAATCGCTGGATGCTCTGCTGGGTATATTCTCAACAATAAAACGGAAAAGAAATTTTTTTTAAAAAAATCGGGCGTGTAAATTCTTTCTGTTCCAGGCCTTCTTTTTACTCTGGGCTCTTTCCAGTCTCGAGCTCATCATTTCCTGTGATTCTAACCACTTCTGTTCTCCTGTCAGCTAATGCCAACCTTCCCCTTGACCGGGTCTGCCCACTGGTCACTGTCAGTCTCTATTCCTCCTTGTCTTCTCCCTGTATGGTTTATCTAAGTGAGATCATCACCAGCTATCTCCCGAACACACCAGCCATCTGTCAGTTTGTCCTACCTTGGTGGGTTCCCTATTTCTGTGATGCTGGAGGCTCTGCTGGTATTTCAAATACCAGCAGAGTCACCCCTGGTGGACATGTGGTGCTTCCAGGACATGACTCACTACAAACAAAGGTCTGGCAAGCTACTTGCAAAAATGAGCCAATGCGAGTAGCAACTGGGATCTTAAAACCTTGCCAGCAGCCATCTAGATGCAATGATGGGTCTCTCCTCATCCAGAGCAAAGAAGAATGAAGAAAACCAAAGAAGCGTGGAAACAATTAGTCCTCGTGACTGGTACACTAGGCGATCCTCAGTCTGTATAACTATGAGACCAGAAGAAATAGATGGTGCCCGGCTACCACTGTCAAATACTCAGAGGGGGATCTATGGAGGAGATCCTGGATAGAGAGGGAGAACAATGTGGAACAAAACTCAAAATCATTTGGGGGATAAAAAAGAGGGACCAGGTTTGCTGGTGAGCCTGGTGGAACCACTGAGAACTATGTCCCCTAGCTGCCCTTCAGGTCTGGAATTGAACCCATACCTGTGGCTTCCAGCCAAGCAAAAGACAGGCATAGGAGTTAAATGTTTACCTGAGGTAGATACACTCCTTGAAGACATCAATCATGGGAGAAAGAAGGGCTGCTTATGCACAGGGAGACAGCTCAGGGGGCAGGAGTGCACGGAGGGATGGACACAGGGAAGAGGTAACTACGGGGAGGAAGTAGGAGGGGAGCTGTTGCATTGTGGGAAATTATATCAATGTCATGAGATAATGTGTGTGTGAATTGCTGTATGGAAAGTGAATTTGTAAACTTTCACCCAAACCACAATAAAAAAATAAAAAAAGAGCCAGTGAAAACCAAGGGGATCACAGAATGTCCTCCACGACTTTGACTTTTTTACTTCAGATTGTGTCAACCCAAGAAACTCAGCGCCATGGAGTCGATTCCAACTCCAGCAACCCCACAAAGCAGAGGAGAACTGGCCCACGACAGGGTTTCCATGCCTGTCAGTCTTTACGGAAACAGACGGCTTCATGATTCTCCCATGGAGTGGCTGGTGAGTTTGAACTGTTGACTTCTTGGTTAGTAGCAGAATGCTTTAACCACTGCACCACCCGAGCTCCCATGTGTCAACAGGAAGGGATCAATTTCTGGAGAAAGACATCACGGTTGGTTGTATGGAGGAGGGTGACATTCAATGTGATGGACTGACACGTGATCGCAGTGATATCTCTACAGAAATACATTGCTCAACCTTCCTTCCGAGGAGTGGCTGGTGGGTTTGAACTGCCAGCCTTCTGGTTAGCAGTCAGATGCCTTAGGCACTACGCCACCAGAGCTCCCAACAACGAGCTCAAACACACCAATGACTGTGAGGATGGCCTAGGACCGGGCAGTGTGTCATCTATTGTCCATGGGGTCGTCATGAGTCACACCTGACTCGATGGCACCTAACAACACTGTCACCTCCCCAATATCACAGCAGGCATTCTCTTCCATGGGTTCCACCCTAAGTGTGTCACGCTCTGCTCTCTCACTCTCACCGGGCAGTCTCAGTGCAGACTCTCCTCATTCTCTCCGTGGGCTACGGTTATCCCTTCTTAACAGGCATCTTCTCTCTAAACTCGATATTCTCATGTCCACCCTCCACACTGCAGCCAGTTTCCCTGAAATGCACCGTGAACTCATTACCACTTAGATACCTTCCTGTTTGCAGGGCTTGGGGACTGGGTAGCAAAAAGCATGAACAGAAAACCACTGGCCTTTGAGCTCCTTAGTGTACAATATAGGACCTCCTAAGCTTTGACTCTTGCCTTGTCTGTCCAAGACCATCTCTAATTTTCGCCCTTTCCCACGTTATGTTAGCCAACTGATCTCTATATAATCTTCCAAACAGACTATGTTACTTTACAGCCTTAAAAACCCAAACCAAACCCACTGCTGTCAAGTCGATTCTGACTCACAGCGCCCCTAGAGGACAGAGTGGAACTGCCCCACAGGGTTCCCAAGGCTGTCAGTCTTCACAGAAGCAAAGCCCAAACCACACCCACTGCTGTGGAGTCCATTCTGACCCACAGCGCCCCTAGAGGACAGAGTGGAACTGCCCCACAGGGTTCCCAAGGCTGTCAGTCTTCACAGAAGCAAAGCCCAAATCAAACCCACTGCTGTGGAGTCGATTCTGACTCACAGCGCCCCTAGAGGACAGAGTGGAACTGCACCACAGGGTTCCCAAGGCTGTCAGTCTTCACAGAAGCAAAGCCCAAATCAAACCCACTGCTGTGGAGTTGATTCTGACTCACAGCGCCCCTAGAGGACAGAGTGGAACTGCACCACAGGGTGTCCCAGGCTGTCAGTCTTCACAGAAGCAAAGCCCAAACCACACCCACTGCCTGGAGTCGATTCTGACCCACAGCGCCCCTAGAGGACAGAGTGGAACTGCCCACAGGGTCTCCAAGGCTGTCAGTCTTCACAGAAGCAAAGCCC